ACACACACACACACACACACACACACACACACACACACACACACACACACACACACACACACACTTGTTTCTACACTTCCCACCCCCACCTCTCCCTCTGCAACAAAGAGCTTGATAACATGGCTCCATTTGAATAAAAGCTCACTTACTTGTCATCCATCATTTCATCCCTCGGGTTTCTAAAAGCTGAGACACTACAAACACCTTGGATAAGCTGCGCATGAAGCTCACACACACACAAAAAAAGTCTTTTTCAGCAGAAATTAATTAACTAGTGTACCATTACAATGGCAAGTCATTTGTCAAGCAAATACGCAAACACCAACAAGTTYCAGATTCTATGACGAGAGGATTAGTGGTTATTCTTTGCTTTAGATCTGTGTCAGGTTTATGAATGATGAATCAGGTCAGGCAGAATAAAAGAAAAATGATACATCTGAAATCCGTCATTGGAAAATAAACAAAATGATTTACATTAAAGTTATTATTGTCAATGTTTGTCCATCCTCAGATTGGACATTGGGATCTTAGACAGAGCAGGACTTCTCTCACCTGTTGGCCTCGTTCACCTGCTCACCTGCTCGGCTTAAATGTAGGTGCAGTCATATCAAGTGTTTAAAAAGCACTTAGTTCCTGTGCCTGCTGAAATGCCTTTGGGCTGCGGCTCTACTATGAAATTTACAATCCATTTTTTTCCCTTTTTATTTGTGTCTCTTTGCTTCTGTCTTTTTCAACAACTGATGCCATTTAAATTTAATGAGAGCAACAGAGGTGTAAATAATCCACTTAAAGAGCTGAATTACACAAGAAGCCGACATGGACAGTAGTTAAAAAATAAATAAAAAAACTTATTAGGATATTATCAACTAAAAAAGAGATGGGATACTTGTAAGATCTGCACTAGAAGGACTAAATGTTATTAAAGTTACAGTTATATTAACTCAGACATTATTTATGATGGATGGTAGTGATATAATTGAGCAACAACACTGCCCTCTTCTGGTACTTGCTTGAATTGAAATTCAAAAAGTTAATGKTTGATATTTTTGCTTCACAAATCTTAAAAAAGTCACAGCTTTTTTTTTTTTTTTTGTCAAAACCTGTTTTGACTATGAGCAAAAAGCATAAACCTGATATCTGCTCACCCGCTGGTGACGTCGTCATTTCGCTCCACATTCTTGCTCAGCACGTCTCCGTCACTCATGTACCCGGTGACCTCCACGGCGTTCCCGTCCAGCTCCATTTCCTCCCCAGCTCTGTCCCCGAGGTCCACGCTGCACAGAGCTCCTCCCCTGCCGGCCAGCTGTCGCCGCAGGTGCCCAGGATACAGGTAGCGTCCCCCGTGTCCCCCAACCACCCGGCTGCCGTAGCCGTTCCCCACGGAGGGGGCGTCGCCCGCCTGCAGACGAGGGCTGGACTGGCCCAGCCGCCACGGCGACAAAGAGGAGCGGGCAGAAGTGAGGCTGAGGATACTTCGACCACCTCCGCTGGTGTTGGTGGGGCCACACCCACTCCCACCGCCATTGTTGACATCTGTGGTGACGCTGCCATCGAATGTCGTTTCTAAGGTGCTGCCACCAAAAATAACAACAAAATAAGTGATTTAAATGTAACAAACGAGCTGAAACCAACTAATTAAACAAACACTTTAAAAACATGCAAGAAGAGCAGCGAAAAGATTATTAGTAAATGCAATCTCTTTGATTGATAAACATGATATATATTTTTACAAACTTAGCAACCTCACCAAATACATTTAACCGTAGGTTCAGCTTTAGCCACATTGTAAGGCCAGAGGGCAAAATTATGTAGAAAATGGTGTGATTTTAGGWAGAACAGAAGCTAGGATAAAGCTGAAGACATCCCCGTGATCAAAGTAAAATGGGAAAGCAACTAAAAGAAAAGATTCAGTACYTTTAGACAGATACGCTCCGCTAATTATCAAAGTAATTCAGTCACAAGCTTAAAGCTCATAAATACAATTTGAATTAGTGAGTTTATAACAGCTGTAAATGAGTTTTGATCTAAAATCCCACTGTTTTCCTAAAACATTTGAAWAAGTCAGTGATAGAGATTTAATAATCACCTGTTAATCAAAGTTTGGAGATGAATCTTGTTTTACCTGTGCGTGACCTGAGTTCCTCGCAGGCTCGACATCGTCTCCTCCAAGTTTTGCCGCAGGTCTGCAATGTTTTTGACCGTACGCAGGCGTCTCGTCTCTGGGTCTTCACCTGAATGAAACAACACAAATCTTTACCACCGCGAGACGTAAAACATAGATTGTGCACAGAGTCAGACTTTACTGTAARTGAGTACGAACCTGAAAGATCCTCAATGGAGGTATGGCTGGTCTTGGTGCAGGAAACGTCTCCACCTCTTCCCCCTGGACCGTCCTCTGTGTTCACCTCGCCGTCTGTTTGGGACCTGAAACACAACCAAAGCGATCAACGTGAGGAAATCGTTGATGGAGAATTATTGTACACTTAGTGGGAACCTAATATTCAGAATATTGTCACGAAGGAGGGATAAACCTGATTAGGATTTAAAGCTGTCGTGTTTCAAGTCTCGTGATTGTGGTCCAAAATGAATGCTTGCAAAGCCTCAGGCGTCAGAAATGTTTGTCTTTGAAGTATAAATCAATACAGCCTGAACGCTGCCCYAGCTGGGTGCTTTTGGAGGTGATGACGTCTGAATGCCTGGGTCAAATGCAGCCTTTGGTCTCTGCTTGACTCCAGACTTTGTCCTGTTGACTAATGTGCTTGCACTATGAATAATGTMCCAGTTAAAAGTCCCTGGCTGTAACGACAGCATCTACAATTGACCTTATGTCTGGGTAACTAACAACATTTTACAATAAGTTAAAGTTTTTTTCAAATAACTAATTACTCTGGTTGGGTTTAATGTATTTCTTTTTCTTGCATTTACTGCTTAAGTACACTTTATGGTATATGTAGGTGATATGGTATGAGTAGTACCCATATCTGACAGGTGCAATTGGAGTGTTTTTGAGATGGGGTCTACAGGTCAGAATGTGCAGAAAAAGATGATCATGATGGAAATATAAGAAGTTAATGAGTGGTTGTTAAAAATAACTTATATATACTGTGAGGGACGTCTTTCTTTATCACAGTGGGATGAAAACAGAGGTCAGAGACACAACATCCACACACAACTGACCTTAAAAAAGGCTTTAACAGTTTGCTAAAAGCATAAAAAAACTGATGCACTTCAGCAAAAACAAAAAAAAAAGAAATTTATAATGAATTTAAAATTGAGGAATGGAAAAAAAACCTGCAGCTAACTTTTAAAGACGGGTTAGGTTTCAGCAGAAATGTGTGTTCTTACCGGTACATGAAAGGTGCTACAGTGGCTGTGTTGGGGTGGCTGTGGTGTTGTTGAGTCTGAGGTAGCTGCACACTGACTGTGTTGCTGGCTGTGCTTTGTGTAGTGCCTCCACCTGCCACTGGGGCGGCACTGGGCTTTCCCTCTGTGGAGGCCAAGCTGGAGGTAGAGCTGGAGTGTCTGCTGTCCCTGTCTCTGTCCAGGGGGCCACGGTGCAGGATGAGACCCCCTCCTAACCGCATGCTTCGAGGCCTCTCCCCCACCTCTTTTACGGAGGAGGCTTTGACCCCAACTCCTGGGGCTTTCCCTCCTGGCTTTGGTATTCCGCTGTGTGCAGGGGTAGAACTCTCCTTTTTGGCCACTTTCCCTCCCTTAGGAATGAAACTAGCAATTTTAGAGTTCCGTTTGTTTGACCCATCAGCCTCTACAGTAATGGGTGTTATTTCCTCTTTYGGCTCCTCACCCCTCATCTCAATTCTATCAGGGACACGCTTTCCCACCTCCTTCCCTTTCTCCTTCTCTTTCTCCTTCCCCTTCTCCTTTTCAGGGCCCTTCACAGAACCCTTCTTGGCAGTCAAAGCTCTGCTGAAAGTGCGCTGGGCAATGCCCCGAAGAGCAATTTTGGGGCTGCTGGCAGTTGTAGAAACAGTAGTGGAAGGTGCAGCGTTGCTGGTTCCATTCAGTCCAGGTCGGAGGTTGCCATCATCTTCATCTATGGGGTCTGTGTTGGAGCCAGTTTCAGACCTTTCCACYTGTCCTACCCCAACTGGCCTGGATGGGGCAGCATTCTCAGGCTGGGACCCTCCTCCGTTCGATGAAGAGGTGCTGGCAGAAGATTTGGATCCTCCTTTACTGTTGAAAAGCTTGAGTTTCTCCAGCATTGACTTCTGGGCGGCCACTTTGGGAGGTGGCTCAGCTGCTACCTTTGAGGAGGTGTCCTTCTCCTGCTTGCTGGACTGCATGGCAGATGGATTTGTGCTGGTGGAGGACAGGGACTGAGAGGCGGGGTGCTTGGAGCTTGTTGACTTGCTCCTCCAGGGCTTGCTGCTGCTGTTGGGCTGGGGAATGGCAGTTGAAGTGGAGGATGGAGGAACCAGGGTGGAGGCAGCAGCTGGGATGCTGGTAGAGGAGCTGACCGTCACTGCAGACGAYGCAGCATGCTCTGTCATCACCAAGGACTGTGAGGTCATGCCCTCAGAGGGATCTGCTCCAGAGAAGAGACATTCCAGTAAGTAAAGGAGAAGCACAAAGAGGTGGCAGAAAATTCAGGCAAGCAGAGTAACTAGGAGAGGAAGATGTTTAGAATAAGGATTTTTGGACCCCACACAAAGTGGCCTTATAAGGACCTGGAGAACTGTACCAAGATGTGTCAATACAGCCAAACAGACCATTACTTTGCTTCAGGCTAGACATCAAAGTGTTAAAAACCCCTTAGCACTAACAATAAGAGAGCCCATCACAAAATGTTTAAAAAAAAAAACAATAAGGAGCAGACTCAAGTGCTTTTAGGTCTCGCCAAGGAAGTTGAGTCAAGAAGCAGTGCTGCTGCACTTATAAGGCTTAGACTTATATGGGCTGCTTTTGGTCTGAGTCCCTCAGCTCCGTCTGAGTACATGAATTCAGCCCTGCGTAAATAACATTCAAAGATAGGATTAAAGCATTGTTCAAAGTGGATACTAAAAGAACAGAATGCTAGCAGCATGTACTGAAATCCACCTCCCATTTAGAAAAGGTCTGAGTAAATCTACAAAGTGTGACTCAACAAGAAAACTTACCAAAAACTGAAAGAGCAAAACAAAACTTCCTGGTATAACTCAGAGCCTTTAAAAAAAAACAGGGGTATCCTAAGGACTGCTGAGGTTGTCAGTGTGCATTCAGATCAATGCTCCCAGAAACACAAAGCTCAGACCAGTAACATTTGAATATTCAAATGCCAACTGCCAGAAAGGGAGGGCCCGTGCAACGAGGACAGGGTAGACCGTATCATCAGACTCCAGCAGAAACATATCCCCATGTATTTTGAGCACACCCACACAGACAAATTTTATTATTCAAAACCCTCCCTCGTGATATTTAGCTTTTTTCATTATTACGTGTTTATCTCTTCTTTGTTCAATTTTTTTAGTTGGTTATCAGATATATTTCTCTAGATGCTTTATGTGACATATGTGTGATGCTGGTGTTATTCACATGAGTTCTTTTAAGTTCTGAGAAAACAAACAAACTTGTATTGCAGAATTTTTAGGGTTTAAACAAGTTTTTTTCTCCCGACACAGATCCAAGTGATTTTAAAACTTTAAATAAATGCATCTTGCTGAAACATAAAAAGCATCCAAAACATGTTGAATATGGCAAATTTAAAAAATATCTAAAAAATGTCTGAGCACACACTGTTATGAATTTATGTTATTACACAAAAAACAAACAAAACAACTTTTGTTGTTAATTTATTTAGTATGCATTTAGTAAGGTATAAAACAATCAGCCTTGTTGTGCACCCCGCCTCTCCTTCATTAGGTTCTCCACTTTATTCATTTTTCTAGTCCTTTCATGCCCTGATTGAAAATGTGAGCTCACAATTCTGCTTCTATCACCCCACCACCCCATTTAGCCTTTAGTGAGAGCAGCATGAAACAAAGCAGCCATTACCAAGTGATTAGGGCCCAATTAGATGTGCTAGCAATTGGCAAAGTGGGTCAGATTGCTAATAGCTGCCTTCCTATTGACGGTAGCAGGAAAAGAAGGGAAACATATCGAGCAGGCAGAGAGAATAGGGAGAAACTCAGTTCAAATTTGGGCTGAGCAAAGAAGGTCAGCAGGATGGTTTGTGATGCCACAGAATGAGGTCAACTTGGATTTTGGGTCAGAAAATAAACAGACAGAAATATGTGACATATTGATGATATGACTGAACTCTGTGACTGGGACTGACATGCTCCAGTTAGACCGGTCAAAGAGGTCAAATTTCATTTTTAGTGATGGACTTGGATATAACATTATAAGCATTAATTAAAAACTGAGTAATAAATAGAGAATATTAACAGATTGCTTTAATTAAAAACATAAATCTGCCATAAGAAACAAACAAATCCATAATTGCACATTTAAAATGTGCCCACAAGGTGGAGTAACAACTTTAGTTTGTCAAAACATTTATTCTGCATTCCTTAAAATGTGATGAAGTTAAGCCATAATTTGTAGAAACCAATGATTCATCGTATGAACAACAAAAAAAAGTTAGATTTTCTACTTTATTATTTTCCGTGACTTGACTTTACCAAATTCAGTCTCAAATTACCAGCACCAAATACTCTTAAGGAAGCAGTTTACCTTTAAAACAAACAAATTGTTTCCAAATTGAGTCTGAGAATGGGTCACAAACCAAATGACCCGTGTGCAGCTTCAGGCTAAATTCTGGACTTGAAAAGCTCACATTTGTTGGTTGAACAGGTCAAGTTGGTTGCTTGAGGAAACATGTTGAAAGAATTTAAGTGTTTGACTTAACAGCCTAATTGCTGCCATCATTAGAGATTAAAATAAAAAAAGAAACAGGCCACCCTTCTACTTCCTGTAGGCCTGAAAATCCACTTGGCAGCATGTCTGCCTGCCTTCTCTGATACAATCAAGGCCTTTTCACAAACTGTCTCCTTTATGCCTAGATATATCTGTCTTATTAGTCTAAAAGTAAGGAAAAGTACAATTTTACATAGGGTCAACACTCTGTGAGTATACATGCCCAAGCGTATCTGTCAGGGTAAAGAGAAGAGGAAGTTTTTTTTTCTGCTTAGAAACTTTAATACACTTTAAACTTTAAAAACTGTAGACATCTGTTGGGCCTGAAGACTCAATAAATAAATAAATAAACCATTCAAAGAGCTGTAAGACAAACCCACAAAAAAAAAAAAACAAGTATTAAATGCAATAAATGTAGCATCGGCTGACACTGTTTAGCCATCACAAGTTCTCCAAACCATCTCATGAATGTACTGGTCACAAGACATTAACCTCTCAAACAACACTTTACTGAACTGAAACGTCTCACACTCACTTCCAAGTCTCTCGTCCAAGTCTGTGTTTTTAAAGARGCCGCTGAGGGAGCGCACAGGAACAACAGCTCTCCCAGTTTTATCGGTTTTATTTCAGTTTATTGACACATGCATGAACACTTACTCTGTGAAACTCGACAAAATTTGAAACTGCAGGTGTCTGATTACTCATCATGGTCTGATTTCAGAAAGAATCCCTCTCTCTCCTCAGTCATTGTGCACCAACAAGTGAGTAGGACAGCTAGCTTTTGTGTGGAGTTTTTTATTTTTTAAAGTTCCTCCACATGAATACACTCAAACAGTGACGCTCCAGCTCATCAGAAAGCTATTCATTCTGTAAGAACCAGCTACCCAAACACACACACAGGTGCCCCCTGTTCCCTCTGCGCTGTGTAAATTGGTAAATACCCAGGTCCTGTCAGCTTGTATTAACACAGAGCAGAAGAGATGGCTCAGGTCTGCTCCAGTACTCTGGTGCTGCTCAGTACATGACTTTATTCTGGTGTCACAGCCATTGACACACAGCAGCTCTGACATCACACCAGAGGCTGCAGGACTCTTTCTGTCCATCCAAACCTGCAGGAACAATGCATCACATTTTATATACCACTGATGGACTAATAAACAACAACTATCTATTGTTATGCTCTCAAAAAATAAAATATTTAATCAAAACCCTAACAACAGCAGCAAAAATAATAATTAAGAAAACTGTAAAAAAGTAAAACTGATTAAACCATATTTTCAAATGTCCAACGCAGACACWCTGAATAATTCTTAGTATTTATAATCCTGACAGGGGCAGACTGAGGTTGAAGCTGACAAACCTTGTTGGTGCTGCAGACATCGAGGAGGAAACGGTCAAGAAATGGAGGAAAATAAGATAGATGGACAGGAGAGGAGGGAAGAGTCCCAAACTGAGGCCGGGCTTCCAGAGAGAGCAGCAAGGGGGAGGAGTGTGAGTGGCAGGAGGAGGTGTCTGTGGGACTGGAGGCGTGGCTGGTGATTTTTATCCTACCTGCTGCAAGTCACAAGTTCTGCTGCCCCCAATACACTTATATATATATAT